CGAGTCATCCATGAAGCCAGCTTCATAGCAAACGAGCTAATCGATAGCCGCAAAAAGAGTGGTAAATCTGGTTTGACTATTAAGTTAGACATCGAAAAAGCTTTTGACTCTATCAATTGGGGCTTCATATTTAATGTGTTGAAGGCCATGGATCTGCATCCGTGCTTCCAAAAGTGGATCAAAAGCATCGTGTCCTCCGCCAGAGTATCTGTATTAGTTAATGGCGAAGCTGTGGGTTTCTTTGGTATGCAGAAAGGCGTGAAGTAGGGTGACCCACTTTCTCCTTTCCTCTTTAATTTAGGAATGGATATTCTGTCCTTCATCATTGAAATATTAAAGGAGACTGGACATATATATGGGTTCTGCATTGATGAGAGGAACCGGCATGGAGTTGTCACTCACCTTTTGTATGGTGACGACGCAATCATATTCTGCGACGATAATGAAGAGGAGGTTCTGAGCATATTGGCCGCTCGCTCTTGTGTGTTTTCAGAGCATAATAGGACTTAGAGTAAACCTCAACAAGTCCAGAATTTTCCCGGTTGGAGAGGTTCCCAATATCAGCAGGTTAAGTAAGTTATTTGGTTGCAACTGGGAATTCCTCCCCACCACGTATCTGGGGCTCCCTTTGGGTTCATTGGTTCTCTCATCAGCCATATGGAATCCAGTCATTCAGAAGTTGCAGAACAAGCTCGAAAGTTGGAAGGGGAATTTTCTTTCTATTGGGCGAAGGGTGGTAATGATTAATGCTGTTCTGTCCAGCCAAAGTTTATACACCTGCTCTCTTTTCTTAGCTACGAAGAGAGTCGTGAAATCAATTGAAAAACTTCAGAGAGACTTCCTGTGGTCAGGAACGCAGGACAAAGAAAATCTTCACCTAGTCTCATGGGACCTGTGTAAACGCCTAAACTTCATGGCGGGCTGGGCATCCGTGATTTGGAAGCTCACAATCATTCACTCCTCCTAAAATGGCTCTGGAGGTTCGCCTGTGAACATAGTGCCTGGTGGAGAGAACTCATTTAGTTCAAGTTCCCCAACCCTTCGTCAGAATGGTTCTCTGGAGATGATCAAGGGAGTGCCGGTTGTAGCCCTTGGTCGCAGATATTGAAACTCAAGCATAATTTCTGGCATATGGCTCACATCGAGCAGGGCAGTGGTTGTTGGACTTCCTTTTGGCTTGATCATTGGATTAGAAATACTTGATAGTAGCCAGATTCAATAAAAGTGGTGACTTCCCCTTTAAGGTGGTGTGGCAAAAGATAGTTTCAAGTAAAGTCTGCATCTTTTTATGGATTGTGTACCACAAAAGGCTCCTCACCCATGACAACCTAAAGAAGAAGGGATTTCAGTTGCCAAGCGAATGTGCCCTTTACGAAAAAGAGGAGGAGAACCCGAATCACCTTTTTATTAGCTGCTGTTTCTCGAAGGAAGTCTGGCGTTAAATGAGTTCTTTTGTCAGGATGGAAAACAGGATCGGTGACAATGATGATATTGCCGCAAGGATTAAGCAGTGGCACTGTCAAAAGCGCTCAAGTCCCTGGCAGTGGTGCACTGTGGTCTTCCTTCATGCATACTGATGGAGTTTATGGCTGGAAAGGAATTCGGGAATCTTCAATGGGGAGGCAGCCCCCCTCGAGTCATATCATTGCGCATTGGACGCCTAATAGCTGGTTGGGTGTCTGCGGCTGAGAAGTTTGATAAACAAGTGGTTGATTTATGGTTGTTGACTCTAAAGTGAAAGCTGCTTCCCACTTCCAGTGGATCACCCCAACTCGGCGATTAAGCTGCCTCTGCCTCTGCTCTGTTTCATGCGCCCATCTTCCTTTGTTTTTGCCTTGCTGGCTTTCTTCTCAGTATCGCTGGGTTTTCTCTGGTTTCTTTGGTTTTGTTTTTATTTTTGTTTTCCGCACCTTCGGTTTACCGTTTTGGGTTTCCCTGTGCTGTAACTCTTCTTCTCCTTAATTAATATATATCATCCTTACAAAAAAAAAAGTCTCTGCAGCTACCTAGGACTATCCATGATTCCTGACTCACGTAATTAATTCGCCCAGTTTGTCATTAATCAACCTTTGACATCGCCAAATACGGAACACTATGTATGTTTTGGATTCATCCCTCGTGAAACTGATCCCAAACTAGTTTGTTTAGGCTCATAATTTTGATCCAGCCTCACCCATCAACCCGGTCTGGGCACAACCTCTAGCTTCTTTGTGGCCCACCTACTCGGATCCCTAGGCACTATCTTTCTAATTAGGACCCAATTGACTTGAACCATCTCTTTCTTCATCTTGCTTCTCTCGAGTAGCTCAATCCCTCTCTTCACATTGATCTTCATGCCTAATCTGTCAGGCCATGATTGATCTTCTTCATCGTGGACTATCAAGTCGATCCCACCATTAATAGGCCTAAATGAGTATAAGCTGGCTACCTTGGTCATTCCGCTTGCAAGGTTGCAGCTCCCAATTTCTTCATTGTTGGTGTGGGCAACATGGTTGCCGATGACTTAAGCTCAATAAAGCCTCGTCCCACCAGCATAAGATCCGTCCTACCTAAGATTTCTATCATTGACACTGCTGCCAATGATGATGACATAAATGCCACAAAGCCCGACACAGACATTAGCCCCATTAGAACCCCGAGGGTTTCCTCTATCTCCTCTGCCCTGGTCTCTTCTAGACCATCACTTGGGTCATCATCTCCATCATTCCATCATCTTCTTCTGGAATTATTTAATATATTCCCATTCTCTTTATGAGGTTTCCTTGAGCGTAGAGACAACCTCTTGGAGCCTGTCACCCAACTTAATATGGTAATCCAACATGGAAACCACCACATCTTTGAAGCATTTAACAATGTTGATGTCTTTGACATCCACCTCGCGAAGAGAATGCTTCAGATGTAATCTTTGCTTATCGCCGAGAAACCCATATGCTCGAAGAAGTTCTGATACCATTAATGATGGAAGTATGAATCTAGGATGTCGCTGGTATAGATAGATAATTGAGAATAAGATTGTGATTAGGGATTTAGGAAGATTTAGGGAGGGATTAGGAGAACAAATAGGTAACTCAGATTAGAAGAAAGTATAGGGATGAAGAAGAGTGTGTTCGGGGTGTTGGGGGGGGGGGGGGGGAAGACGACGGAGAGGAGAAGAGAGAGAGAATTCGACTTAGAGGGGAGAGAGTCTTAGGTTTGGAAATAATTATTCTTTTTTTAAGATAATTATTGTTTTGTATTCGTTTTATGAATTTATACCATAATTACAAAATATATAATCCAATAGGTTTTCTAGATGGTAAAATCCGCTACATATCCATAACCAGTGGCGAAGCTAGAAATCTAAATGAGGAGGGGCTGACTTTGAATCGTGATAATCGAGGAGGGAGGGGGGGGCTAAAGCCTTAGCGACTAGTCTATTTCTTAAATTTGTACGAATTTTACATGTAAATTGAAGAAAACCAAAATGTTGAACAAAAACTCAATCACACAAGACGATGAGTTACGTGACCATCCGGAAAGCCTCGCCTAAGCTTGGTGTCGGCTTCATGGAGAGTACCTGAGTTCGGACTGTGGTAAAAGCATCATCAAGGTCGATGACGAAATCAAAAAGTCGCCAGCTATATTGAGTGTCGCGCATGCGCTTTTCGATTTCACAAGAACAGCCACCGCATGTACACTTCAGAGGTGGTTCGATGGCCTGGATTTCGTCCTATAGGCTGCGTAGCATAGTATAAAAGCTTGAAACACTAGCCTTTTCTTGCTGAAGGAGTGCTATCGTGCATTTCAACTGGTATAGACGAGGGAGACTTCCTGTCCTGAAACGCTCCTTGAGATCATTCCAGATTTGATTGGCTGTCTTTGCACAATGAATGCTGACTCGAACCTCTCTACTCATTGAGTTCTTCAGCCGGCTTACAACAATCGCATTATAGTGATCCCACGCATCCAACTCCCAGCCTGACTCGGGACCCTTGAGAGTGCCATCGACAAACACGATTTTATTCATCGCCAGGAGAGCAGTCCGCATGTCCTATGCCCATTCCCCGTAATTCAGCTATGTCAATAGTTCGACGATGAAGTTTTGGCCAGGATGAACAGAGGGATGAAGATAAAACGGAGAGGAAGGAGTAGGAGCCTCCTGGATACCTGACGATGAGGCGAGCTTCGCCTCCTTACTGACTTTGTCCTCTTCGCTCATACTGACCTATGAGAGGGACGAGACTTGATGCGCTATATTCTAATCCTGCTATGATACCATGAAGAAAACCAAAACGCAGAATAGAAACTCAATCACACAACATGACGATTTCCATGTTTGATGTGAACAATACTAATCCACAATGAGTTCGAAGGAGCTCACAGACTGAAATATTATTGATGATCTTGGCTTGCTCGACAAAGACAGAGAGCTAAGCTTAAATACACAAGCAATCTCTAAACCTAGGTCGACTAGCGACATCTGAAACCTAGAGGTGAAGAGTTCCCGTCTACGTGAACCACTTGGAAACCATATACTTGGAGAAGAAGTAGGACAGGCAATTACATAATGATACCTACAATTAAGAAATGTAACATAAATTTACCTGCATTTCAAAGTTGAGGAATGGCTATAACCCTTCCCCTAGATATAACCTAGCTACGCCACTGTACATAACTAACTCCTATTACGAAAAGAAAAAATAACAGGCAAAATCCGCTACAAAATATTCCGTTGATTCCCAAAAAGACCACAAAACAAATATTGTTGAGATATGCAATCGTGGAAAGCGTGAGAACAGAATATACCAACTAACAAACGTGGACTGAAACTATAAAGAATCACCACCCTTTCCGTGTCCTTCTAAAATTAGCCAAAAACCCAACTGCCTTGCCTATGCGTCTCTGTTTTGAAGTTTACAATTTGGCGCAAACAAGAAACTGACTGCATACAGCCACACACTGATCCTTAAAAATTCCAATTTCGATGCGCTTGCTATTCATCAATTAATTAAGGAATGCCCGAAAATTCTCTCCACCGTACACCGTCAATCTCTTACCTCTCATTTCACACGGAAACTATTCTTTTTGTTTCCCTATAAGATAGATAGAAGTAGAGAGCGAAGCAAGCAGATTCAAATCAGTATCACAGGTCAAAGAAAAGATGGAGAGCAGAATCTCAGCAGAAGTGAAGATCAAGCTTGGTTTCCTCTTCTGCATCCTTGTGCTGGCCATCACTTCCTCAGCGGGTGGTGAGTCTTCTTTTAATTTATTCCACGTACGGACGACTCACTGACTTTCTTAATTTCTGTACGTATTTTGATTCTTGGATCTATCAATATATTAATTACGTGCAGGTGCAGGTGCAGCGGCGGCGGCGGAGATGAGGAACAACAGTGGAGGTAATGAGAGTGCGGTGGTGCCAGATTCTGACGAGGAGTATTGCCGACTTGTGGTATGCAAAGGGCTGAACTGCGGCAAGGTGTACGCAGCCGACGGAACTTGTTGGTGTGTTCTCAAGCAAGGCCCACTCGTCGCTTTGCCTTGCGCCTATTAGCTACCTACTTGATAATGGGCTGCAACTGTTAATGAATAACCAGCAGAGAACTTGAGCTAGCTAGCTCGTGCGCGCAATGACTGGTTCTACAGTTTGTAATCGTTTTAATTGCAATCAAATGAATTACCTCTATTAACTACGCCACCTAACCAGTTGAATTCAAATTATCTATTAAGACATATATGCATCAATGATGTTAAGGGAGACTTGAGCTAAAAATGTATATAAACAATAATATCTCAATTATATTGATCCTTTATAGAAAATCAGGTGAATATAAACCAAGGTTATGCACACTAACTATCACATTTCCTTTGATTTAATCTGAATGTCGATTTGAATTACCATAGCTCAAGTTTGCAAAATATTTGACTATGTCCATCAAGAAACTCTTGGAGTTTGTTGTTAACGAATGTGTTTCGGGATTCTCTGTGGGCAAATTGACGTGAGTGACTATATGTTTACTTTTGTTGGTTTGGCCAAGTGTGGCCATTAATACAATTTTTAGTTCCTTAGATGTTTGAGGTCATATAAAAATGGTTGCACCTCATTTACTTTTCATATATAATTCTAATTAAGAAAAGACAATTGAAAAACAAATTAAATAGATCGAGTAAAAAGCAAAGGTTATGATATCCCATATTGATACATCGTAAATTAATTATACATATTTAACTCCCCATTTGATGTTGTTTGAGTTATCATTTCGGCAAGATTTATATGTATTTTGCTTGTTTTATACTTGGTTTATTGTTTAAGTGTGTTTCGGATAATTTTGTGTGAATTTTAATAAATATTTTGACGAAAAGCAGATTAAAGATGGAATTTATGGAGTTCAAGTTGAAGATCGTTTGGACGTAATTTGAAGATACTTTACTAACCCATCACGACATAGAACACGACCATGCTATTGGGCGTACTCGGGAATCAAATACCTCTAAAAAATCCTTCGGAAAGAAGAAAAAATAAGCTACCAAGCCTAACACCGTCTGTACCACGACCCTGCCCGTGCCCGAGCCCAAATTTTTTCTTGTTTAACCTGCAATCAGATTTTCTGAAGGGGAATTTGGTTAGATTAAATCTAAAACCTAGCGAGTTAGGTTAAATCTACTCCGTAGGATTTGATTGAAGTGATCAATCAAGGAGTTTACCATGAAGATTGACTTTCTTTTCTTCTCTTTTTGTTCCTCCTCCCTCATAAAGTAGTCATTCTTTGTTGTTTGGATTAGATGAATCCTAGCTACAATACTATGATTTGATTGAATATTTATGGAATTAGATGTTTATTTTTCTTTGATTCGTCTTTGATTTATCATTGGACTGTTCAATAGTTACACGCCTATTGCATGATAGAACCCTCAAAGATAAAAGGGAATTATGACTGCCAGGATATAGAGGACAAATGACTTTTGGATTAGAGCATCTACATCAATGGTATTTTCGCAATTGCAAATTTTATATGGCATTCATAATACAATTGCAAAGGGGATTGCGCTAATGTAGTAGGCACTTGCAAAGACGCAAACTTGCATGAAATGAAATTAAATATGTAATCCACATCAAAAAATAAAATATATATTTTTATCTCTTGATTGATTGATTTATTATTTATTATAAAGTCACATAAACCTTATATATGCAATTGCAAGTGAATTGATGTAGGTGCAATGAAATAAAGTTGAAGTGGATTGCATAAAGTTTGATATGACAATAAAAACATCATATATCATATGTAATTGGTTTTGCAATTGCATTGATGTGGATGCTCTTAGAATAAAACTTAATAGGAGAATTCACAGAACCAATAAGGCTTCAATTGATTAGTTTTAGGTCAAAGAGGATATCAGGTCTAGAGTTGATTAATTGATAAGGAGTTAATACATGACGCTATCGGGGTTACTACGTTGGGAATTCCTAAGGTCAAGAAAAGATGACATTGACTATATATGTTATTGATTGATAAATTATTGATTAGCTAGGGGATTCAAATCTGAACTACACTTCACTGCTTGAATATGCTTTAATGTTCTACGTTCGTTGATAACGTCTTATTTGCACATGTTTTCCCCATAAATTCTTGATCATTTTAGCATGGTTTAATGTACTCCTTGGCCGATTTTACGCTAGGTTGTTTTTGTGTGCATTTCAGGTCCTAGCACGTAAAATGAGGTTTGGGAGTGGATTTCGGGGCCAGTTCGAGACTTCGGGTGAAAGCACCATCAACAGACACTTTACACAGCCTGGGGTCTTGATTACTCGGCCGGGTATTTGAAGAGGAACCTGGGATTGAGGCAGGAGAAATTTTGCAGCGTGATGATGATATTACTTGGTCGCGTATTTCCCTGACCAGACCAGGTTAATCAGACGAGTCCTCTTAAGTGAATGCACCACGTTTATGAGATCCTCTGGGTCAGAGGAGAAATACCCGCTCGTGGAATAGACCAGGGAAACGCGAGCTGCAGGGGTTTTAGAAGGGAGCTTCGATCTTTTGGCTAAGGTTTCATTTTCAAGTACCAAAACAGCTAGAGAGGGCCCTAGAGAGAGAGAAAGTGACGAAGAACGACCTTGGGAGCATATTGGAGCGATCTAAGGACATTGGAGCTCGATCTTTTACCATCGGAGTGCCGATTTCTAGCTTGGAGTAGATTTTACCTCACATGATGATTTCTCTTCCAAACTTGGTGTTTTCCCTTCTCTCCATAGAGTAAACTCCCTTTTCATCTTGGTATGAAGAATCCTAGTTATGTATGTTAGGAATGGTTGTATGAACCCCATTTGTGAATGATTGATTCGATATATTCAATTGAGTCATTAATCAAAATTGCATGAGTTCTGATCAAACTTTTGTGATTCCTGCTTTAACCTAGAACGATAGTCCGTGCATAGGTTAATAGATCAATCTTAATTGAAAGTAGTGGATCGATTCCTTTAGTCGAGAAATCGATTCAGTGCTCTGTACTGGAATTAAAACCAGTAGAGGAAGTTTGGTGTGTTATTGCATTGGTTAGTTTATGCCGGTGGAGGTTAGTCGCCGCTGGGTTTTCGAACTGAGAGGGCATGGATTACTTTAATCGAGATTCCAGACTTTTCAAGAACTTTTGGCAGTGTGTCTATCAATCGGAAAGAATTGGGAACATATAATCTAAGATAGCTGCATACTAGGGGGACTCATATCTGGATGACCTTTTGCATACTTGAAACTAGAACATTTCCTGCTTTTGGTATAATTTGCTTTGAACTCTTCACTACATTTCAACAGCTAAATAATAGAAATTCACGGAGTAGACAGTACACCTAGGCCCCGAGTTGAAAATTAGGACCTAAACGCAAGATACTGCATTTCCATTCTACATTTATACTTGGTCATGGTTTGGTGTTGTGTTTTGGCGAGTCAAGTTTTTGCCACCGTTGTCGGGAAAGGCTAGGTTATTGCAGAAACGAGAAAATCTATTACTTTAGCATTACTTTCTGCATTTTCTTTTCTCCACATGTTTGCCTTCACAGGTTGTGTTTGCAGTCTGTGTGCAAGTAGTGCATGACACATAGCCGGCCGAGAGAACCACTACCTCTGGACTCAAAAATCGAACGGACTTGTTGCCAGCTCAGAGCTCTCAAATCGATGTTGGCTACAGAGGAGGACTTGGACAAGGTTATTGTCGCCGAAGAATCTGAGAGCGAGGAAGAAGCTGAGATTGGGGATCTGGTGAATCAGTTGGGGGACCCACTTGGGATTCAAGACCAGCCCGAGGAGTGGACCATAGGGTATTACTGGACCACTTGGGCTGAGGATATGAAGTCAAGCATCCAACTTCCTCAAGTTGCAGCTAACAAATTTGAGGTGAAGAGCTCTATGATCACCATGCTGAAGGGTTCAGTGGTCTTCCATGGGATTGTTGGCAAGTGCCCATGCGAGCACCTACGATGGTCCCACGAGCTGATTGATGGGATCAAGATAAATGGGATCCCACAAGAAGCCATTCGGCTACACTACTTCCCATTCACTCTGGAGGGACAGGCCAAGACGTGGCTAGATCACCATCCTTCAAGGTCGATCACCACGTGGACCGACATGTCCTACAAGTTCTTGACCCACTACCATCCCACATCTAAAACTATGGATCTGCAGAAGGAGATCACCCATTTTGTGCAAGAAGAGGACGAGACCATCTGGGATGTGTGGGAGAGATACCAATGTCTCTTCCTGAAGTGTCCCAACCATGGGTTCAATGATGCTTTCAAGGTGGGTACCTTCTATCGGTCTCTCTTTACTGAAGACAAGAGGATGATTGACTCGTTCTCTAGCGGGAACATGCTCACCAAGACGCCACCATAGTTGAACCAGCTCTTTGACGAGATGGCAGAGCAGGGGTATGATTGGGCGCGATGAGCACCAGGGCGTGGTATCCAATGCCATGGATACCTCGTCGTTCAATCTGGTGAGTGTGATTACTAAATTGGTCATGGAAATTGACCAAAATGGGATGGTTCCAGGTGCAGATCAGCCACATGGTAGAACACGGCCAAGCGATTAGGGAGTCTAACTCACCTTAGGAGCTGTTGGACTTCATCAACAATGCTACGAGCATAGACCATATAATAACACGTACAATGAGGCTTCTAGAGACAGCGGTACCAGGCCTGCCAGTGCCAATTCCAGTAGCCACAACATCCTCTTTACTCGCCCAGGCTGGGGCAATATCTTCATCAACATCAGCCACAACAATTTAAGCAGTCGGGCGCTGCCCCAACAGCCCCTGTATTGTGTGATCCGATGCCCGAGTTGCGCGACATTGTGGGAGCCCTTGCCAGCACCAACACTCAGAAGTTTAGCAATATGGAACGGTTCATGGAGAATGCCTCAGTATAGTTCCTGGATGTTGAAGCTGGTCAGAAGTCTCTTGAAGCTGGTCAAAGGTCCCTTGAAGCTAGTCAGAGGAACACAAATGTTGTTCTGCAGGACATCCATCTCGAGCTTGGAAGTGTCCACAAAGCCGTGCCACAAAGGGCTCCGAGAATCTTACCTAGTCATACCATACCTAATCCAAATGACCCGGATGCCCACTTACATGTTGTAACTACCAGGAGCGATAAGGCGACTGCGGAGATTCTCGTCCAAGCCAGACTTGGGGGAAATGACCTGCTTCAACCCTTCCAGCAAATGAGGAAGAAATTGAGAAGGGGTCTGAGGGAAAAGACCTGCTTCAGCACTTCC